CCGAGTACATAGGAAAAGAGGGTTCCCCGGTTTGTCACGCGCGAGCACGAGCGTGACACTGCACTTGGCGCCGAGCGCCCGCGGCACAGACCTTGTGCAGGCCACCCCTCGGTGGAGGCACCGGTCCGGACCGTGGGCGCTCGGTGTGGAGCAAGCAAGACCCCCCCCCCCCCCCTCGGCGCGCGCTCGCCATTCCAACGGGCGCCAGGAGCACCAAGAGGACTCCTCATGGCTGCCTCCAAGTGGGCTTCGACCGGCCTCGGCGGGGGGGGCGGGTTGTCCCGGCTGCGGACGCCTTCTGCAGCCCCCTGGGCCCGTGACAGTACCCCAAAACTGCCCCTCGGCGGCATACAGCACTGCCAGCCAGCCTCTTCCTCCTCCTCAAGGGCTGTACTATAGGCCATATTGCGCCGCCTCCTACTAGCAGCCGGGCGGGCGCGCGCCGCGGGCGCCTCGGCGCGCGCACGGCTCGCAAAGTCCAACGAGTACTGCCGCCCGGCCGCCTCAAGGCTGCCGGGCGGCAGTACTCGCCTCGCAAGGCGCGCACCGGCTGCTCTGGCTGCTGCGCCGGCGGCCGCTGCGCTGGCCGCTGCTGCGCCGGCTGGCGGGCGGCACGGCCGCCGGCGGCCGCTGCACCCGCGCCTTCCCTCGCGGGCGCCGTCGCGCCGCGCGCGCCCAACTCTGCTGGTACACGGCACGCGTCGTCACACAGCCGCGGAGAACAGGCGGTGCTGTGCGCGAAGCGCGCGCGATCTCGTACTTTTAAGGCTGGATCCGGCCATTCCAAGGGTATACCTTTGAGAATCCCCAGCGTCCCATCCTCCTAGTCACACTCTCAATATCTCGACTAGCCAACATGAAGTGCTGCGATCGGGAGTGCCCCATTTCTTTTTTCCTTTCTTTTTTTGGGTCCTGTGGGCACCCTAGCACTGGCACTAACACGGTTCTCGAGAACCTCGGGTACACCGAGAAAAAGAAACAATTTTGCTTCTGCACACCGTCACCGAGGCGCTCGAACGTGCCTGGGCGTGTGAGCCATAGAGCGCGCGAGAGCGCGGGAGGAGCGTTGGCAGGGCTGGCGCACATGTTGGCACACCCTGTGCCCGCTCGCGGCGGCGCGAGCAGCGAGTACGGCGGAGATATAGCTGGCTCTCACTGGCGACCGCCGCATCGAATTTATTAAATTCGAAGCGAAACCGTGAGGTGCCTCCCGTCGACTCCGGGACGCTGACAGCAGCTCCAGCCGGAAAACAGAGCCGGTTGCTGTCTCTCGCTTCGTTTGCTCGCTCACTCTCGCTCTCCCTCAAACTCGACCGCCAAGCTTCGACTGGTCAGACGAGAGATGGCGCCAGTCATCGTGCACATCCACATTCCAAAGATGGCTGGCTCGACAATCATGAGGGCCTTCCCGCGATGGGCGGGCATCTCATACTGTCCGTGGCAATCGGTGAGATGGCCTTTGCATCCGACGTACGGCAACGAAACCTACTTTTACGAGCTGCTCACTCGGAACTGTGCTGCT